AAAAGAAACTCCGACAACTTCAGCCGCCTGTTGTCCCCGCTCAGAACCTGACATTAGCCGTAAGGATCTTTGTGGCTCGAGAGTGCAGCTCCAAGACTTTCCAAAACACCATCTCGACTATCAAGAACCTTTCAGCCATTCCAGGGGCTAAGGCAACATTTGGTCAGGAGCTTGTTCACCAGGCACGGCTTCTTAGTGAGAACATCGTCGCTGATCTGGACGACCTTTTGCCACATATTGAAAAGGCATCTTCAGGCACTGAGATCCAAGGCGTTGCTCTTGCCAAATTCTCACCAGGAGCATCCGAGCAAAACAAGCTCCTTCGTGTTTTGACAGCATTAGATCATTTGTTCGACAACAAGAAAAAGGGCGACGAGGCCGAGTCTAGCAAGAACAAGGATGAGAGACACGATCTAGTCACATCTCTCTACCACAACTCAACCTTTTCGGCCATGTGGGAGAAGTTGAGTGCTTGCCTGAGTGCCATTCGTCAGCGCGAAAACATGCTCAATGTGGCTACAATCCTGCTACCACTGATTGAATCTCTCATGGTGGTCTGCAAGAATACAACCACCAACGATGATCCATCACAGCAGAAAGAAATGGTCCTCTCAAGTCCGCCACCCGAGTCTCGTACGGCCAGTCTTTTCTTTAGCTTCACCGAGGATCATCGGCGTATCCTTAACGAGCTTGTCAGGAGCAATCCCAAGCTCATGTCGGGCACCTTCGCACTCCTTGTGAAAAACCCCAAGGTGCTGGAATTTGATAACAAGCGCAACTACTTTAACCGCAGCGTCCATTCCCGATCTGGCAGCAACCAGAGCCGGCCCTCCTATCCTACTTTACAACTCTCTGTCCGTCGTGAACAGGTTTTCCATGACTCGTTCAAGTCCTTATACTTCAAGTCTGGGGATGAGATGAAATTTGGAAAGCTCAACATTCGTTTCCATGGCGAGGAAGGCGTTGACGCTGGTGGAGTTACTCGCGAGTGGTTCCAAGTACTCTCTCGGCAGATGTTTGATCCAAACTATGTGCTCTTCACACCGGTGTCCTCTGATCGGACGACCTTCCATCCAAACAAGCTCAGCGGCATCAATGATGAGCATCTGATGTTCTTCAAATTCATCGGTCGCATCATCGGCAAAGCATTATATGAGGGTCGCGTTCTTGACTGTTACTTTAGCCGTGCTGTATACAAGCGAATCCTCGGCAAATCTGTCTCGGTCAAGGACATGGAATCATTCGATCCCGACTACTACAAGTCTTTGTGCTGGATGCTGGACAACGACATCACAGACATCATCACCGAAACTTTCTCGGTCGAAAACGATGAGTTCGGCGCTACCACCGTCGTTGACCTCATTCCTAATGGTCGAGAGATTGCCGTCACCGAGGAGAATAAACACGACTATGTCCGTCTTGTTGTCGAACACAAGTTGCTATCTTCCGTCAAGGAGCAGATGGCCCATTTCCTTCAAGGTAAGCATATCAATCAATGATAACTTCATTCAATCACTAATTTTCAACAGGCTTCCATGACATTATCCCTGCCGAACTGATATCCATATTCAACGAACAGGAGCTGGAGCTTTTGATTTCTGGCCTACCCGATATTGATATCGATGACTGGAAGAGCAACACAGAGTATCACAACTACACCCCATCTTCGCAACAAATTCAATGGTTCTGGCGAGCTTTACGGTCTTTTGATAAGGAAGAGCGCGCCAAATTGTTGCAGTTCGTTACAGGAACTAGCAAGGTTCCACTCAATGGCTTCAAGGAGCTTGAAGGCATGAACGGTGTTAACCGATTCAACATCCACCGTGACTATGGCAACAAAGACAGATTGCCTTCTTCGCATACCTGTTTTAACCGTAAGTAAAATCATCAGCATTCAATTCGTACATCGACTAACATAGAAAAATTCAGAGCTTGACCTCCCAGAGTATGAGAGCTACGACCATTTGCGTTCTCAGATCATGAAGGCCATCACAGCAGGCAGCGAATATTTTGGCTTCGCGTGATCGTCAATCTTTGCATTGCAGGCGCGTAAGGGAAAAGGGATCATAGATGGGGACACCAATGGAAAAGAGAGTTGATGTTTACTACGGTACCCGGTATTGTGTTTTATCAGCCTGGACTCGAGATTTCATGGTCTTGAGCACTGGATGTAGCATCCTCGTCCGGGCTTTACCTTGGGAGAAGTGCAGGTCTCCTATAGGTTCCTTGGAATGCGGAAAGCGCACAGAAAGTAGATGATAGGCGAAGTTTCATGTATATCAATCAAAGTTTAATAGGTGATCACCCGGAAAACAACCTATGGTGTGTGCTGAATTTGGTTGCTCTATGGTTTAAGTTGTGTTTGCTAGTGGTCCACCTCTTGATTTCCAGTTATTCCTGTAAAGGACGACACAAAATTGGTGTAAAAACAGTAACAAGTCATGATTAAGAAACATATAGTGACGAAAGGCATAGTATAGACACAGACGCAGGCGTAGGTTGCCAATGAGCGCGGGTTACGATTGCATTAATGCATGTTCATATTTTCGAAATGTCTCTAACGCAGTCGTGGCTGGCTCAAAACAAGCCCTATAGAGAATCCTCACTCCCAATGCATGCAAACTACAAGACCAAGGTATGATTCCACTTTTTTTTTCATTAAACGCCAGAACCTTACTTGCGCATAGAGCTTGCTCGTCGCTTACGGGCATCGGCCTTGTTGGCCTTGGCCTCAGCAACACGCTTGGCAAGGACCTGGGCGTACTCGTTCTGCATATCGTGTTAGATGCTTGTGATAACTGTGTTGTGCGTGTGGGTGACTTACGGCCTCGTCCTTGACCTTCTCGGCCTGGCGGCGCTTGAGGGCAGCGCGGTGACGCTTGTGCTGGAGACGCTGAGGGGTGACGAGTCTCTGGATGCGGGGCGCCTTGGTGTAAGGAGACTTGCCCTCACCCTTGGGCTGAACCTCTCGTCGGATAACGTACTTGCGGACCTAGGTATCATGTAAGCATTAGTTTACTTTCAATTCTTGTGGTTATGATTGTTCAACTCGCTACCCCCTAACCTCTTTCTTGACAAAGAAGGTCAAGGGGTCCTCTCACACTCTACCCGGTCTGCCAACTCCTCCACTGCAGCTCCGGGTAGGCGATGATCGAGTATGGGCGTAGGGAGAGACATACATCGTCATCCTTGGTGAGGCCGAAGAACTTGCGGATCTTGGTGGCGCGCTTGGGACCGAGGCGCTTAGGGTGGACGACGTCGGTGAGGCCGGGGATGTCAGCATCACCCTGCTTGACGATGCTGAGGGCGAGGACAGAAAGATCCATGCCGACAATGCAGCCACGGACAGACTTTCGCTTGCGCTCACCGGTGCGTCGGGGTCGGTAGCAAGAGTGGCCCTCGGAGAGGAGGAGGCGGACACGGGTAGGGTGCATGACACCCTGCTTCATAGGGAAACCCTGCTTGTCGTTTCCACCGGTGATGCGGAAGATGTAGCCCTTGAACTCATCGCCGATGGAGTCACCAGGAACCTCAGCGCCCATCTACCAAAAAAAAGAGTCAGCATTTTGTCGGTCGGTTTGTTGTCGACGAGCCGAGCGGTCGCAGGCAAGAGAGTTTCGACGTACGCGCTTCTCCATGAAGACACGGAGCTTGCGCTCATCCTCAATATCGATGAGCTTCTGGCTGCCATTGGCAGGGTAGCTGATGTTCAACTGTAGAAGAGTAATGTCAGCGAATATTTACTTTGTGATCTTCAATCGAGCAGGAGCGCACGCAAGGAGGCCAGTTGACAAGAATGATTAATCCATTTCAAACAGCAAAAGGCTCTCTTGTACACTCGCATCGCTCGATTGTTGATTGCTTCTTGTCGTACCTTCATTTTGCCAGTTGTGGTGGGTGCAAGTTTACTTGACCTGGCCTGCTGTGAAGTTAGTAGAGGATGATGAGGTTCGAAATTTCCGAATTCGAAAATTGTGGAAGGCAAGTGCGACCTCGCTAGGGCTCTTGGGCACCACACGCACGGGCAGCCAATGAACGCAAACTCACATCCCTCGGGCAAAGGAAAGTCCGACTACTCTGGATACCTAGGTACTAAGCTAGTGCGAGCCTGTTACCGACTGTTTCCACACCGTGTATACATGCATATTCTACTGTAGACTTCTAGGCACGTACCTCAAACTTAGACTCGAGGTGTCAATGGAAGCTTTCCAGCTCAGCTGGAGAGATTTGATACTGATACCTACCTATCTAACTGTTGGAACGATATAAACTGTTTGAAACATCGCCACTCTCGCATTTTCTCTCGTCATGTCCTCGGTTAAGCTATATCCTCCAAACAACAAGCCACCATCCTCAAGTCCTCTACCTCAACTCTTGCAAACCCCCTCAGGTCTAGCTCTCCTGGAACTCCAAGGAACCATCAATCTACCCCAAGACGCCAATGGAGATGCATTAGGCGGCGTCCAAGTTGGAAGACTTGACTTCCCAGATTTCGTGCCCGGTACTGAAGGCTCGACATGGATGAAGCGGGTTCACCTTTATGTTGGCCAGCATCAACGTCTCACTGGGGAGATCAAAAAGCTTCCAAAAGCCATGGCCGTGGTGCGAAAGAGAGAGAATAAGGTGATATCTGGCACAGGGGGGGAAACACTAGAGCAGGGCGAAAATCTCGAGGTGGTTGAGATTGTCAAGTACAAGCTTATGTTTCCAAACCGACCAGAGCCTGTCGGAACAGCCAATGCGACCTGATGACCTTTTTTTTTTTACTACGAGGTCAACGAAAAAGGCTATATCGTATTACGAATGCTGAGCGAGACTTCCGCACCTTATTCCAAGTCAACACTCAAATCTCCCATATCCTCTTAATCCGAGTGAAAGGCTCACCCATCCGTCCACTTCTTTTATCGATATTCAACTTTATTCTTCATCACCCTACTGTATATCCAGCCAAGGTCCTATCGCACTTGTTGGATCTCAACCGTTCAGTATCATCATTGCTTCTATCCTGAGGCAATCTGCAAAGGCCTTGTCCTTCCTAGCCCGTCCTTTCCGTAGTAGTCCATGGGATAGACACCTTCACCCCAATCTTGTCGCTCGCCCAATGCAACAAGTGCCTCGTACGGCGTTAGCAACGGCCGCGGGAATGCATAACCCCAATCAATACTCAATCGAGGGCAAGCAACCTGTACCCAGCACTCGACATCCGACATGAGCGCCAATTTGCCCGGAAAGATCTCACTTAGGAGCAAGTGCACGATAGGAATGCCTCGCGCCTTGAGCTCTTTCTCGATGAGGCCCAATGTATGCGGGTTGCCCTGGCGGCCAAGGGCGCCAAGAATCAGGCCCCATTTGCGTGCTGTACGAGCGCTATGGATGGCTGTACGACGGAGAGACTGCATTTCCTCATGGCCGTACGCCTCCCGCGTGAGCTTTCGAGAGTAAGGGTCGTATCGATAGGCTGGAATAGAAGGGTTGTGAATCATGATACTCTCAAGGTGGAAACGACCATCACCCAGGTACAGGATCAGATCGATATTGTCGTCGTCTTTCAGACGAGGAGAAGTGCAGCCCAGAATTTCACCCTTACTCAATGGTGCAATCTGGGGAACGAGAACACGGAAGCCACCGCGCTCGAGACTGCTTTTGACGCCATGGATAGTAGCGTTAAACTGAATAGTGCCGACAACAGCTATGGTTTTGCCACTGGCAAAGTTGCGCTCAAGGGATGCTAGGAGATGTGTCGCATCAATGCTGATGTCGACAAAGACGTATAGAGTTTTGATCGTGGTCACGTCGACGGGGATGAGGCAACTGTGAGCATAGTGCACCAGCAGGTCACAACCAAGGGCCCTTGCTGTGTAATCATCGATACAACAAGCGCCATAAGTCACATCGCCCATAATGAGTGTCTCGACACCAGGGCAGAACTGCGTCAAGATATCTGATATAGTAGTGGCAAAGAGTAAAAGGCCCTCGGGCATCTGTAACGCAACTCTCTTGGCGTTTGAAGTTTGAATGCGGTGGATCGTCTTGGGGATCTCAAAGTTGTAGTTAGCAGGCAATAACGCAATGGCAGCCTTCAGATCAGCGTTCTCAAGAATGTCCTTAGGAACTTGATTTAGAAGTCTGGGAGCCCTCCGAGGTTTGGCAGCTATAATAAACAGCATGAGTATATCTTCATCCATTCCTGAATTGGGTTTCATGACAAAGGACGGTGTTTTCACATACTCTGAACAGCACCGCTCTCCCCTGATGCTCCGAGCACTGCCGCGGCCTCAACTGCTGCTCTTCGTCCTATGAATCTCTTCTTTGGCTGCTTCAGTGGTGTTGCTGTCTCTGGCTCATTTTGGAAGGCGGGGGATTGACTCGTCTGAGCGAGCTGAGCTTCTTCGATATCGGCTGCTGTGCCCAGGTCTGTTTGTCTTCTATCTTCCTCCATATTGTGCTTGTGTGAAGAGAAAGACGATATACTCTCCACGACGAAATTATCTTGAAGTAAATCGAGAGTTCTCTTACATGGCCCGTTCAATCTGGAGTAAGTACAAACCAAAAAAGAAAAAAAGTTAGGTGGCAATGTGCGTGACTTGAATTTTCGACACTGTAGATCCACTCTCTTTGAAACTCGACTTCATTGGTTGTCTGAATCTAAAGAGACGCCATGACAACCAGCCAAGGTTTTACTGTTGTATGTTCTCATCACCATGGCAAGTCATGCTCCTCTTGGCTCAGGTAATCGATCATGAGACATCAGGGTCAGGTTGAGGATCGGTTGAATTGCATTGGCTCGCCCCCCTATCTTCGCCCATATACCTACTCTTGCTCTGCTCTACAGCCTCCCTCAACAACAGCGTGAAAACAATCAGCTAAAAACATTTCTCTTTCTGCTCTTCCATCAGCCTTGTGTGCGCGCTCATTATACTATCTATCAAAATGCCGACAAGTCGTCCCCTCATGCGTCAATAAGGTTCTCTTCCGTCTGCTGCTGGCTTCGGGCCTCAGTATCTGCCCGAGCCTTACCCTTGGCCTTAGACTCCTTTGCAGCTCGCTGGTAGAACTCGTTGAGAACCTTGGCGGGAATACGGTTGAGCAACTCCTTAGGGTAAATACGGAGAAGGCTCCATGCAAGGTCCAGAGACTCATAAATAGATCGAGACTCGTACTGGCCCTGGCTGATGAACTGACGCTCGAACTTCTCCAAGAACTCGAGGGACAGCTTGTCCTCAGCAGACAAGGCCTCCTCACCAACGACAGCCTTCATGGCTGCGGCATCACGACCAATAGCGTACTTGGCGTACAGTTGGTTCGAAACATCACCGTGGTCCTTTCGAGTCATGCCCTCACCAATGGCAGACTTCATCAGACGGGACAGCGAAGGCAGAACATTGATGGGCGGGTAGATTCCACGGTTGTCCAGAGCTCGGTCAATGAACACCTGACCCTCGGTAATGTAACCTGTCAGATCAGGAATGGGGTGGGTGATATCATCGTTGGGCATGGTCAGAATGGGAATCTGAGTAATGGAACCATTGCGGCCCTCAACACGACCGGCTCGTTCGTAGATGGTGGACAAATCAGTGTACATGTAACCAGGGTATCCGCGACGACCGGGAACTTCTTCTCGAGCGGCTGAAACTTCTCGGAGAGCATCACAGTAAGCAGAAAGATCGGTAAGGATGACCAAAACGTGCTTCTCGAGTTGGTAGGCGTAATATTCGGCAGTGGTAAGAGCAAGACGAGGAGTAATGATACGTTCGATGCTGGACAGGAATTAGTACGCGTATCGTCGTTATGAATATGGTTTGCAGCTCACGTAGGATCGTTGGCGAGGTTCAGGAAGAGTGTAACACGCTCCAGACTGCCGTTTTCCTCAAAGTCGCGGGTGAAGAAACGGGCAGTTTCCAAGTTAACACCCATAGCACCGAAGACGATCGAGAAATTCTCCTCGTGGCCGTCATGAACGCCCTTGTTAGTGATGCCCTGCTTCTGGACGAGGCCAGCCTGTCGGCAAATCTGGGCAGCGATTTCGTTGTGAGGTAGACCAGAGGCGGAAAAAATGGGAATCTTTTGTCCTCGGGCAATCGAGTTCATGGTGTCAATGGCAGAGATACCTGTGGAAATCATCTCCTCGGGATATTCCTATATCATGAGTCAGAATATATCTACCGTGTAGCGCTCAAGGGTAGCCTTACACGAGAATAAGGGTTAATAGGAGAACCGTTGATGTCAAGATAATCTTCAGCCAACACCTTGGGGCCCTTATCAATAGCTCGACCGGAACCATCAAAGATACGACCAAGCATGTCTTCAGAGACACCGATTTTCAAACTCTGGCCTGTAAACTGAACCTTGGTCTGTGGTCGTCTTAGCTTGATGTTCTACCAATAGAGCTCCCAATGCCGCCTACCTTCTTCACATCGATGCCGGAAGTACCCTCAAAGACCTATACAATCGTCAATCGCCATATCATATCGCATCGTATCTATGGAAAAGTACCTGGACGACAGCTCGATCACCTAGTAGTCCATATCAGCATGTTCCGCGTCATTACCTCAGAGACGCCAGCAGCTACACTAACCTCGAGCTTCCAAGACTTGGCCTGAGCGCTCAGTGCCATCGGGAAGAGTGAGTGTCACGATCTCATTGTATCGCGGAAATTTAACCTGTTTTTGTTGTCAGCCCGCAAGTTCCAAGCCGGCTCGATTTGGCAGATGACGACGGCGTACATTATCGAGGATGACGAGGGGACCGTTGACGCCGCCAACAGTGTTGTATCGAATTCTGGGAATGACCGAGTACGATGAGGACTCGCGAGGGTCCGCCATGATGGGCGATGGATCGGTGATCGGACGGTTGAAGGAAGGGGCAAAAGAGAATATAGGAGCCGATCGCGAAGCTTGGAGGTGAAGTCGGGAGAAGGTCTCAAGAGGTTGGAGGAGGTTGAGCTTGCTTCATCCAAGTGGGGCCTTTCCAGCTGCGCCAGCCCAAAGACGACGCACGGCCGATAACCTCACCTCCACATGGGCACGTTTCGACGACATCGGTGACATCACATGACATTCGCAGAGGTAAGGTAAGTTGACCGGTTACATCAACAGCATTTAAGTCTGTCAGCTTAATAGAAGGAATCTAGGAACCTGCGGTGTTTCTGAATAACTAGGTAAATAGTTGCCTGTCTTTTCTTACTATGCTCAACGAGAACACAACAACAGGCTTCCTCCTAGCTTTCCTTTGCGTTTTGCATAGCTCGAGTCCGAGCTCCAAGAACTGCTTTACCTACGGTGCTGCCATTTTCCTTACCCAACTCCTTTGTGATCCAGTCTCCAATGTCAGACATGGCATCCAGATTAATACCAGTGTCCATACCCAGAGTCTCCATAAAGTAAACCATGTTTTCCGTTGAAACGTTACCGGTGGCGCCAGGGCTGTAAGGACAGCCACCTAGACCACCAACACTGCTATCGAACGTCCGAATGCCGTGCTCTAAGGATACAGCAGTGTTCACTAGAGCTTGGCCGTATGTATCGTGGAAGTGCATAGCAATATCCTCAGTTCGAATACCAGCTGCAGACATGCATTGGAGGAGAGCTCCCGTTCGAGGTGCTGTACCCATACCTGTAGTGTCCCCGAGTGAGATCTCATCTGCTCCAGCCTCCAGAAGGTCTGTAGCAATTTCAGCTACTTTGTGAGGATCAACGTCGAACCCTTCGAATGGGCATCCTAGGACTACAGAAATGTAGGCGCGCACTCTGAGACCGATAGCCTTGGAATCCCTAATCACCTCCTTGAAGCGTTCGAGCGATGTCTTGATATCGCAATTGAGGTTCTTCTGTGTGAAGCTCTCGGTGGCAGCAGCAAAGACTGCGACTTCAACACTTGGCTTGGTGGCGGCCTCGGCTCCAGCTGCTGGCTCCAGTTGAGTTGCAAACTTTCCGCTATTCGCACTGAGGACATCGGCGGCAGATTTAAGGCCCTTGCCATTGGGTGCTAGGAAGGAGTATGAGATCGGGCCAGGAGAAGAAACCTTTCCGTCGAGGATATGCTGCAAGATTTCGCTGGAGTTGCTCATCTATCGTAAAAGTGTCAGGTTGCTGAGTAGACATCGGATTAGCAAGAACACTACCTGAGGCACCCATTTTGGAGCAACAAAGGATCCAGCTTCAATTGTAGAAACTCCAGTTCGGGCCAATCGTTCGATAAGCTCAATCTTGGTCTCCAAGGAGATTGCCTTCTTCTCATTTTGCAGGCCGTCCCGAGGCCCAACCTCGACGAGCCTAACCCGGTTATCATATGACTGATTGCTGGCCGTCGCAAGGCCTCTATGCCAGCGAATTTGTTGCGAGCGGCGACATGCTCTGCAGACGCTGGACCGCAAGAGACTCATGCTTGGAAATTTTTGTGAGCAGGCGATATAGGAGTCGATGTACGCTCGATTGAAATGGGTCGAAGTAGAAGGTACTGAAGTGCCGAGCTTGACGGAGAGGTCTAAGTATTGGACACAATCCGCGTACTATCGGCCCCCCAAAGCATGGGCCGAGCTTCGGGCTTCGGTACAGTCAATTTACAGTACCGATACAGTTACAGTTACAGGGCCGGGGCGGCTTTCTAAACCCGTTGTTCCCCGCATTGTTTAAACTTCCATGGCATTCGAGGACTTCAATAGCTGGCGGATAATTTTGTTGTAAGGAGAGGTATCTTGCATTATTACAACTACAATACTCGCAACTACAGTGCTGCCTCACATAATGCCGACGGCTCAGACATGGAAGCTGCAGAGAGGCAGCCAAACCATGTACAGATTTTGGTCCTTTTTGACATTAAAATTCGTTTTGGCTTGACCTTTGTGAAAATAAGAAAATACACCTCTTTATCGTTGACAGGCTAAAACTGGGTAGAAGTCGGTATTCCAGTAATCGCATCCGTAACCGCTTAGTACTCAGCCTCGAGCTCCTCCTCACCCATGGAGTCGGTGGCGACCTCCTCGTAATCGCGCTCCAGGGCAGCAAGATCCTCGCGAGCCTCGGAGAACTCGCCTTCCTCCATACCTTCACCCACGTACCAGTGGACAAAGGCACGCTTGGAGTGCATGAGATCGAACTTGAGAGAAAGTGAAGACCATGCCTCGGCGATGGCGGTAGTATTAGAGAGCATGCAGCTGTTTTGGCGTTAATTCTTTCGTTCCATTCGTTAAATGACAAGGAATCGACTTACACAGCGCGGCTGACCTTGGCGAGGTCACCGTTAGGCACATTCTCGGGGGCCTGGTAGCAGATACCAAGCTTGAAACCAGTGGGGCACCAATCGACGAACTGGATAGTTCGCTTGGTCTTCAGTGTAGCAACAGCAGCATGGGCGTCGTTGGGAACGACGTCACCACGGTACAGCAAACAGGTAGCCATATACTTGCCGTGACGGGGGTCACACTTGACCATCTGGTTGTTGGGCTCGAAGCAAGACATTGTCATCTCTTGGACGGAGTTGGCTTCGTGGGCAGCCTTAGCAGCGGAGATGACGGGGGCGTAGGCGACCAGAGGGAAATGGATTCTGGGGTAAGGGACCAGGTTGGTCTGGAATTCGTTCAAGTCGACGTTCAGGGATCCATCGAATCGCAAAGATGCAGTGATAGAAGAGACGACTATGTGTTGTTAGTCAACTGGCAACTGCATAGCCCAACAGCTGTAACATACCCTGAGCAATGAGGCGGTTGAGGTTCTCGTAGTTAGGGCGCTCGAGGCCGAGGTTTCGGCGGCAGATATCGTAAATGGCCTCATTGTCGACCATGAAAGAGCAGTCGGAGTGCTCAAGGGTGGTGTGTGTGGTAAGGATGGAGTTGTATGGCTCGACAACGGATGTGGCAGTCTGAGGCGCGGGATAAACACAGAACTCCAGCTTGCTCTTCTTGCCGTAGTCGACCGACAGACGCTCCATCAGGAGAGCACCGAAACCAGAACCAGTACCGCCACCGAAAGAGTGGAACACGAGGAAGCCCTGGAGGCCAACACAGTTGTCGGCAACACGGCGAATCTTGTCGAGGACGCCATCGATGAGCTCCTTTCCAACGGTGTAGTGGCCACGGGCATAGTTGTTTGAGGCATCCTCCTTGCCAGTGATCATCATCTCAGGGTGGAAAAGGTTGCGGTAAGCACCGGTGCGGACCTCGTCGACGACATTGGGCTCCAAATCACAGTAGATGGCGCGGGGGACATACTTGCCCTGACCTAGAAATGAGTGTTAGAACAGTACGACCGTCAAGTCCCAGATTAAGCCATACCAGTCTCGGAGAAGAAAGTGCTGAAACCTTGATCGGGGTCTTGGGACTTTCGCTCCTCTGTGAGGTAACCATCGGGCTTGAGTTGGTCAGTATTTGGACGTCACGTTTGTTGACAAATTTAGGGGTTGTTGTGTACCTGGATACCGTGCTCGAGGCAGTAAAGCTAGGAAAACAATCAGTAAGGAGCTACATTAACAAAGTCTTGACAAAACTCACCTCCCAGCAGGAGTTGGCGATTTGGCAACCAGCCTGTCCAACTAGAATAGCTCAGTTAGCATCGCAACAAAGCAGACAGAGATGCGGTGAAAGCCCAACGCCAAAGGGAGGAATAGCTTACCGTTGATGCTAATGACCTCACGCATGTTTGCTGACGATAGTGTTTACAAGTATGAGATGGAGGAAGTCGATGCAATGCAAGAGCAGAGAAGAGGGACCACGAGAAAAGAGGAGGACAAAAAAGGACAGGCCAGACAAGGCTTTTACAGCGGGAAGAGAGGAGACAAGGCGAGGGCGAATGTTTGGTTTGGTGATAAGTTAGCGGAGTGGAGTGGACTGGATGGGAGAAAATAGGTGAGGTGGGGGAAATTTGGCAGACAGGGGAGTCTTTGCTGCCCTGGGATTGGATTGGACCTTCTATGGATTTGTTGATTTGATTTGATTTCGAGGCGTGCCTGGGCTGAAAAGGGGCAAGCGCGTCCTGCAACGCCCTGTTGGCGTTTTCCGTTGCCGGCGCCTGTTGGCCAGCTGCCAGGGCCCAGGGGTTGCCAAAAGGACCCTCTGGCCACCTACCACTCCGTTGTTTCTGTGTCCGTGGTTGTGGTTCTTCGCTTCACCGCTCCATCAAAATTAGCAGCTACAAGGAATTATTATGTCCAGCGTTATGGAGTCGTCGTGTAGAGGCTGGCACTGAATCTCACGGACCAGGCTGCCAACGCCAGCACACTCAAGTTGAGATATTGGTGTCTCTCTTAGACGATGGTCCAATGGATCCATATTTACCACTGTCGAACGACATCTCATCTCGGGCTGTTGAGGCGTTCATTTCGCCTGTGTTAATTATAATTGACCTCATATCCATACCAGGTGTTTGAACTTTGAGCAGCCTCTAACTCAACTCAACAAAAGAAAATATCATAAGCAATTCAATCACTCTTGTTCCTGTTTTCTGTCCTTTCACAGTATTCTATTTCTTCACTGGAAGATAGTTGCAGTAGCCATCCTGGTCAGGCACCATGTTCATTTGTTTACATCCTTGTTGATATCTACGGTACGTACCCAGAACCACAACTCCCTTCTCGTTACCTTATCGTTCGCCTTGTACTCCGTACCAGCAGCTTAGGTATAGTAGTTCCTACAAGACATGGTTAATAAGGGGCAATTCCATTGTGTTCACAAGCATCTAGCTACCTAGGTACTAGATACCTATGTAGGCCGGTTGTCGTGATACATACGCAGGTGTCACTTGAGAAACTCGCAACTGCCGTTCGTTATCACCACCAGGCTCGAGCTCGGTCGATGATCTTCATTATGGTCTGTGATGTGTCAAACCCCCAAAGGCCCAAGCTTTACCGGTTAGTAGTACGCACGGCCACAATTCAACATCATTTTCCCTCTATGTACCAATACGAACTTGCGAATGTATTAGAATGACAGATCGTGCCATGGCAGATTAATATGTGAATATTGCCATTTCACACTGAAGATGGGGAAATCGTAAGTCTATAATAGTCAAACTGTAACATTGAGTTGTTAGATATGGCTGACTGGTGGGGCAGCTGGTCAATATCACACACGTGACGCTTTTGTTCCTACCTAGCTTAACATGTTAGTACCAACCTGAAAACAGTCCTTACACATTGCAAGGACAACAGTTGGAGGGCAAACACAGGTCTCTCAATTACCAATATGCTGTCTCTCGGGAGGGCTCAAACCATATATGCTCTGGGCGGCCTGTTGTTTCTTCTTAGCACGGCCATCGCCAATGTTGAAAAGACAATATTCACAGCTCCTGCATCACTCCCTATTCCCCAACAGAAGCCTTCGCTGGGTGATCTCAGACTACCGATCCTTACACCAGACGCCCCAAGTATTCGAACTCATATCAGCCGCAGCTTTCCCTCTGAGCCAAAGGATTACGCTTCCGGCGTTGCAACATGGGTGCTTCTTGATAAACTAAACCAAGGCCAGCGGTATGAGTTTCGTGTATGTTGGGCTGCGGTCGTAAGTCAACGCGAGATTTACGTAGAGAAAGCAAGCTAATTCGTGTGCGCCGCCAGCAACCAACTGGGTTTGACTTGGGTGTATACGAGCTGGACACCGTGTGGCAGACACCAGAGCTGATTCAGTCACTTGCCAGCTACTCATTTTCTCGCCAAGATCAAGAAGCTAGGCTGACAGAAGAGTCAACTCAAACTGAAGGCAGGGAGCGCGAGGCTTCCATTCTTCTGCTACAGATCAAGGCATCTGCTGACTACTTTACGGACGACGCGGCTCTTATGAAGGATCCCTCACCTGTACACGTAGATCTCATCCTCGACCCCTATCTTTATGGTATCGTCCCCCGTTCTCTAGTCTCAGCAGCTGGCTATCTTGTTCTTGTCGGCGCGGTGGCTTGGTTTGTGTCCAGATCTATCGCCTCTAAGTTACAGACAATTGCAGTCACAACCGATGGCGCAAACAAAAAACAGAATTAACGGGGTGTTGGCACCATCGGGCTCTCGACTCTAGATGCTAAAAAAGGGGCTTGGTGGAATGCGTTCTACTATCTACGTTAATCATATTGCTCGTAACTTCTCCAACTTCATGTCACTCTCCCTGGCCCTCTCAAGAGCTTCGATATCTATACTCGTTTCGACACACATCTTCATCGAAAAACACTTTCATATCGAGCATCCAAGTGTCGGATGTGACAGGAGAGCTGTAAATTTCTTCGGCTTGGGATATTCTTGCGGTCTCGTACCAAAACGATTCAGGTGGTCGATAACTCAAAAGAGTGGCATAAATACTGCGGTTGTTCCGTACAGGTTCATTGCAGTCTCTCAGTAAGCTCCTCCATACTGAGGGTGGGAACCATGAGGCACAGGAGGAGCGCCACTGTTGAATTGCGACTGGCCACCGTAAGACTGCTGGTTCCCCTGGCCTGCGTTATAGGAAGGGTTATATCCTCCGGGAGGGGCTCCAGGTGGAGGAGGAAAGTTCTGATTGCCTGAGCTTGGCGGTGGTGCACTATAGCCCTGTGACTGCTGAGCATGTTGATCAGGCGGGCCGCCAAAGTGGCCGCCGTGCGCTTGAACATCTGGAAAGCCTGTACCAGAAGACGGTTGATGTGGCTGTTGTCCAGGGGGTGGAGGAAAGTATTGTTGTCCCTGTTGTGCATTTTGTCCATGCTGGGGAGGGCCTCCTGGGGGAGGAGGAGGGAACGAGTTGTTCGAAGAACCATGAGGGCTCCCACCGAAAGAAGAGTTGCCTCCGTACTGCTGGTTCGAGCCAGGCTGCTGCTGATGACTTCCATAAGGGCCATTCTGACCGGGCTGTTGCTGATGCGAGTTGAAAGGCTGATGAGAACCTGGCTGCTGCTGCGATCCGTATGTCTGATTCTGACTAGGTTGGTGTTGAGAACCGTACTGTTGGTTCGAGCCATGCTGTTGATGCTGGTTCGGGGATGGAGAGCCATAGGAATGCACACCGGCCGCGGGGGGCGCTGAAGCGACCGGGGGAGCTGAGCCCGTAGGGTTGTAGGTTGGTGCCTCGCCAGAGTACGTTCCACCACCTCCCTGCTGCTGCTGCGGCTGTTGCCCAGAACTATAGCCAAAGTTGGAGTTTTGTCCCTATCGCCTGATTAGTCTTGCGCGAACGGCGCACGTTGCTGTTGTGAACATACACTGCTGCCGTGTTTGCCGCCAAACATAGTTGCAACACCACCCATAAGCTGCCCGGCGAGGCCTCCCTGATGATGGCTTGAGCTCTGGTTGGAATTACCATGGTAATTTTGGGGGGCAGGAGGCTTCTCCTGACTAGCCGAGTGCATAAAGCTCGACGCCAGTTGCCCAACGAGCTTTCCTGCGCCCGAGGGCTTGTTTCCTCCATTGCTGCCGCCACTACCACCATGGCTGCCGCCGAGGAACTGGTTTGCAAGACCGCCGAGATTGCCCAATGGACTGGAGCTGTGGCCACCGCTGCTGCTACCACCATGACCAGAGTTCTTTCCGCCGAGCAAAGCGTTCATAGCCATGCTCTGACAGGCTGTTAGCATAATTCAACACTATTCGAGAAATGCCAAGACGACATACTCCAAGACCCCGTTCACCAGAGGGACCATCTACACCTCGGGTGCCGTCCGGCATAATTGGTTCCATGGTACCATCTGCATGGCGCACAGTTTGCGATCCATCAGGATGCGTGATGAGTTCCGAACGTTTGGGAGCGCCGTAAGGATGTTCGCCCTGGGGAGCTGGAGTATTTCCCGTTTTGGCTGGTTCAGTAGGAACCTCCCACTGCGAAACACCGGTCGACAGTTGTACATAATAATATTTCTTGCTTGTGCCATCCCATTGAGCAATCCAGCCCGCGGGCAGCGGGGGAGGAGCAAACGTGGGGCCTTCGGCCTGAGGAGAGGCAGGGCCCGTCATGTTCGAGATACGGTATAGGTAGGTAAAGATATTGTATGTAGCGGTCGAGGCGGGGAGATGTCGCAAATGGAGAGGTCGCAGATAAGGTAGGCAAAGGATGAATAAATTGTCGCGTGGTGAGGGAGAAGGAGTGGTTGAAGACGGAAGTCCGTCACTGAACGAGAAGGGCCGCAGTCATGAAGAGTGTAAAATACAAGAGGCGGGAACAAGACAAGAGACGAGGTGAGGTTTAGATGGTGTCGCCTCTAAACTAACCCTGGGTGGTGGAGGTTAATAAGGCAGGCTTGGCTTGACTGGGCTAAGCTGGAGGAGGGGCTCCAGGCTCTCTTTCGCCGCCCAAGATCGATTGATGGGAAGGGACCCTCAGCAAGGGAAAAGCCCACTTTGGGTTGTTATGCTGGGTTCCATCCATTCGAGAGGTAGGTACCTACCCAGCGGCTAGATCAGGCGTCTCCAGAAGTGAGTATCAAACTGAACCGGCTCACTAATCCCAACAACTTGGACCAGTGTCTTCAACCAGGACGCCAAATTTCGTACGGATAGTCAGGTCCACAACCTATACTATCGGGCTCTGGATAATCAATTCAGATATGTACTCCTGAACTCTCAATAGCTTCATCTCACCATCCAAAAGACTCCACTGGGCTTCTGAGGTACCAAGGTATGGACCAAGCACAGCCCCGCCAGCAGCCCAGGTTAGGCTTGGATTCCAGACAAAAACCTACCTTTAATGAATACTGTATATATACTGTCTGATAAGCGCCAGTCTTGGTGCTGACGAATGTCTAACGATATAGTTAACCAATCACAACCTTTCACACAAGTTCACATCATACTGTGCATGTTGCTTTTTTTGGCGTCATGCTGGATAGCATGCTTCACCTAACGTTAGTACCTACGTAGGCATCACAGCCCCTCCTCTCGCAACAACACAACACACCAGAAGTGGTCTCCAACCTCCACGATCTGCTACCAAATGATCGTTTGTGTTTACGTGTCGTAGGCGGCCTCTTCCTATCCGACGAAGTCCATACAAACCCCAACACACACATTGGCCGACCCAGGTTAGGCTAGGGTAGTAAAGCATACCTTATTGTTTTATCGTCATTGCTCTCCCCACCACATAGTATTATCCGGAATCACCGTCCCACAAGTCTGAGTAGGACTACTCCGAGTACTTGACAAAGAGTGCATTAAGCTGTATGCTTTAATTATTTCCTTATCAGGTCTTTCATGCAATGAGCCATATTCTACAATTAACAATCACAGCCATGTCGAAATAAGTGTTTTGAAAGATCCATGAGTCTGATTCCTATTCCAGTTATTGTACATGAAGATGAAAACTCCCAAACCCTTCCATCCACTCTTCCAGAACGTCAAGCAAGGTATATGCTGGTCTATTTTGCTCTCCTTCCTCTTGACATTCCGAATTGCAGCTCAGCTCTAGTTCAAGATAGCCTTAGACCTGGCGACCTCGAATGGCGAGTCGGCGACCGAAACCAAAGGCCATAGCCGAGCTCTTATTGCCAGAGCAGGTTGTGCCAGCGGCCATAGATTGAACAACAGACCAGCGACCGGAAGCGCAACGCTGGTACTTGGTTCCACCAATGCAGTTCCAGGCGCCCTCATCACTGCATGCAGTACCAGCAGTCTCTTCAGAACCGGAGCCAGAGCCACCCTCACCTGCACCAGTACCAGGAGCAGTGGGGGTGGTAGGAGCAGGCTCAGGGCTACCAACACTGGTAGGAACAGGCTGACCGCCAGTTCCGGGAGCAGGTTTGGTCATGGTCAAGAGAGTGCTGGTTGCGGCGGGAGCTGAAGGAGCAGGGGCACCAGTAGCCTCAGCAGGCTGAGAGACGGTGACGAAAACACCACCAGGACTGTGAGTTTGTGAGTCAGGGGCATTACCAATAGAAGAGAGAGAGGGTACATACGCTGAAGGGGCGCCGGCAGCTGGAGCTGATGGCTGAGCGGCAGGGGCTGAAGGTTGAGCAGCAGGCTGAGTTTGAGTAGGGGCAGCAGGAGCACTTGGAGCAGCACCGTTGTTGCCGCCAGCGGAGCCGTCAGCGGGAGTGCTAGGAACAGCACCGTTGTTACCATCACCGGAGCCGGAGCCAGAGCCGGAGCCACTACCAGATCCTGCCTTACCACAAGTACCCTTGGGGCCAGCAGTCTTCTGGGAGTCGTTGCTCACATCGGGACCAGGATCGGGGAATTCGAGATCGGACGACTCCTCGGTAGTGCAGCCATTTCCGACGTTAGCAACGAACATCTCAGGACGGTTGCTCATGGCATCTGCTCGCTTGCCGGAGCCACCACCAATAGTGACGGCAGCGCAATTCATGTACATCTCACGATTACCGATCTGATTGAACCACGACCAGGCGAAGATAGCCTCGCCGGATGGAGCGTCGCTGGGGACCTTGAAGTCGAAGGTGGTGGTACCAGCACCAGGACAGTTGCCGATGTATGAGTGGATGACCTTCCAAGACTTTCCTTTGTCGTAGGAGAGGGACGCCTGGCAACTACCACCACCGTGGTTAGCACCGCCGGTGATGCTCATGTTGTAGGAACCGCCGGCTGCCCAGTCCGCGACCGAGGCACCCTCCTTAGTACCAAAGAGGGAGTGGTAGCCCTTGCAAGGGAAATTGGCGCCGCTTGCGTCGAGAGGGGCGGTCATGCTGTAGTCGACATCGCTACCAGCATTGGGGTTGGATTTTGACTTGAAGGGGGGAGGGTAAATCATCTCCATATGTGCCTGGGCTAGACCAGCCAGACCGAGGCACGCAGCGACAGACGGGAAATGCATTTTGTCGCAGTTAAAAAGGTGTGGTAGAAATGAAAGTAGTGTGCGAGGGTATCTCGGAAAGAAATTGCTGTTGACACGATTGTGTTGTTGTCGAGTGTTGCTCAGAGATTGCTTTGAGTAATCCTTGTGATGAGTCTTGCAGGATGAAAGATTTCTGAAAGGATTGAAGCGGTTTTATATCAGAGCCTGGCTTGTCCTTTGAGATTTTTCGGGCTGTTCGTTGTTCAAGTGAACTGATAATGAATGGCGAACCACGGGTGCGGGTTCTGTTACAGTCGTTATTGTTCGGTGGTCGAACAGTGAATCAAAGGATTGTGGGTAATTGAACAACAACGTTGGTAAAGGAAAGAAAGTGATGAGGAACAATAAGATCCCAACACGAGCAAGGTGAAGAATATTTGTTACTGTATTGAAGAGAGAAAACAACAGTGACTGTACACCAGGAGTGACGAGCAGTGGCGGGCACAGATGGGTGAAACGATCTTGTTTTCTCGAACAGGTCGACGGCGTCGGACGGGAGGCTCCAGGTGACACAAGGGCCGAGTTCTTGTACGTTGTTCAGTCGGTGAGTTGATGAAAGCTGTCGTTCAGAAAAAGATTCCAGTGTCCGTTACAAACAGGATGGACTGGGGTAGAAGAAGTGAAGAGGAAGTTTCTTGATTGTGAGGGAATGTATCCAGCCCGTCAAGGGAGTGTCAAGAAGAAGAAGAAGAAGAAGTGAAGAAGAAAGAAGTCAAAAAGGGACCGTCTAGAGATAGAATCCTGAGCGTTGCTGCAGATGAAAAGAAAGAAAGCGGATTTTGGAGGTTGGGGAGGACCTCTTATGTAGTACTCTGTACGATCACAACCACTTTCCTTTACCCACCAGGTCTGGCAGGTCAGAATGTTTCAGTCGTTTCGTTTCGGCTGCCTCTAAGCCAAGACACCGCACAGCACAGCACAGCACAGCATAGAGCAGAGTCAATAACCGGACGGACCCTTGACAGTAGTTGACTAACTAATCCAAACCAATGGTCTCCTGATTCCCTGTCCTGAATCGCGGAGCGGCAAAGGTCGAGCGAATTAGTCGCTCTCGTTGTTCGTCTTTACCCCTTGCAGGCTCGCAGAGCCAGGGCCTCCAACTCCACAGAGCATGAACACCCAACTACACAGCCCGGAAGTAAGTGCCATCAAGAGGCGGGAGGGTCCCTTAGGATCGACGTTATTCCCTTGACTCGCCAGGAACAATTTTCGGGGAGCGAAGCGACTGGCGGTGGAAGCGTCTCGACTGTGGGCGTCTATGTCGCATGTGTCTGGAGACCCCCTTGGGAGCCGGCGCCTAATGGCAAGCAGAGGATTCTCTTACCTAGGTACCTACCTATTCAGTAGTCACGTCATGGTACTTCTGATACCCAATACCCATAAATCATTTCCGTTTCTTTCTATCGTTATCGTAAGTTACATGGATCTCATGCCATCGTTCTCTGTGTACCTACCTGCGTTGATGTTGAAAAGAAAAGTGGTACCCCTGGACAGAGGCGCCGGGCCAAGAATTCGAAACCGATCTCTTCCCCACATGCCCTTGCTCTCGCAAGCACAGACTCTTTCATTATCATGCTCAATACTCAATGGAAGTCTCTAACTAAGCCTCTTAAGCGTTTAGACAGATATCTACTGGACAAGGGACAAGCGACACCTGATACACGAGTTGTTGGTCTAGCCCTTTTCTTTCTTTCTCTGTTATTAAATGTCTTGCTTTCTCTATGAATACATCATGTGCTCTAATTAAACGTCTGCTTTTCATCTCGTAACACATACCTCATCTTCAACAATGGCACTCTTGCACGTGCTGCTTGCTTCGTAGATCTCTTATGCCGTGTTTGCCTGCCATGCGCCGGGCTACATGATGTGAGACCTGACGCGGCCCGTTTGTTGCTCGCCTTTGTTGCCACCCAATATTGGTCTGTTTATAGTCACGTTCCCTGTTGTTTCGTTGTTTCGATCCTTCTTTATGCCCATCTTCGCCGAAATACCCGTCTCGCCTTCGGATAGAACGAATGTCATCCTTTCAGCACATCTATGTACACTAGAGGCATACTCTGTCACGGGTGTAAGTCGTCAAATCGCAAGGATTGGTTCACCTTTCACTTTGGTTGAAGGCCCGAGTTCCGCACTTCTTTTTTGGTCAAAGGGCAAACAAGGATCAAAGGATGAAGCAAGCCTAGGTGACGGTCTAGGGTCGCCTCAGCCAATCATATTTTAAAACCTACCCTGTCGCTTTGAAAGCCACCCGCGGCCTAGAAATGCATTGATTGGGCTGGTACCTGAGTGAAACGCACCATCTGCAATGGCTTCAGGGGAGTCAGATCGGGCAACGATAATCCTTTCACCTGAGATGAAATTTGCCTTTCTTCTAACTGAAGCAAAAAATAAATAACATCATGCATCTGAGATTTACGATTATCAATAGGATCAAGTTGCTACTAATGACTTGCCTGTTGGGGATACTCGTGATTAATTCGTAAACAAATACACGTAACAGAACAATTTAAAACTGTCAAAGGTTCTGAACCCGAAACTTGGGTTATCGCGATTCGAGCAGGTCAAGTCAAATCTGATATGACTTCACGTGAAAATTTGTAATAGCGATGGCCCCTTTCATCTCCAATGCAATTCTAGAGAATCGGTTCCAAGGGTCCAAAACCACATATCTTTGGGTAGAGCACGTGAGACATTGTTCGAAGTGCCGGATGTGCTTGGCCCGTAGGCACACAACAGCTTGGAGACACTGAATGACAAGTGAGTTCAATGTACACAACCATTTATTCATAATGCCATGTGACAGGGGGTATTGAAAAAACGAGAGCGGTGTAGCCCCCTTTGAATTGTGATTCAATATCATAAATGTTCCATTGCGTTACCTGCCCAAGGTAAATCGAGTCCAACCGTCAAGCAATTCGATGTTCTGCATCTACCCTGTATGGGTTACCAGCGGATGTTGTTGACACTGCATGCTCTTGCCAATCCAATCAATCAATCATAGGTAGTCTGAAGTACAGCAACACATCACATCACATCGTCATATGAATGTATGCGCTGTGCTTACGCAAATTGCGGGGGTTTGACTCAGAAACCCGATATTGAACCATGGCCCATCCATGATCATTCCCAGCGATTCGAGCCTTTTCTTGTCAACCAGGTAAAGCCGATTTGTTATTCCCCCGGTAAGGCAGGGTCTGTTGTTGATGATCGTCTACTGGGGGGACCCGCATTTCCAAGCCTTCAACGGCTGCTGAATGGACAGTTAGTAAACTCCATCAACGCCTTAACCGCTCTTGAGACAGGGAAGGATGGAAATGCAACGTTGCGGTCACTGGCCATAGCGTTTGGAATAATAAAGATGAACTCTAAATAGAAGGCGGAAATAAAGAGAAGGAAGCTCAAGAAAGCCTGACAGGTACACTATCAGGCTATTCATTTGATAAGCCATTTCCACATCTCGGCGAGATAGATCTAGGCCACTGTCAGGCTATGTAATTACTTCATTCTAGCATACCTTAGGTATTGCTGTAGGGTACTAACCCAAAGTAACCGAGACGTAAGTTTAGTATTCAAGGCTTAGCACTCTCAAGCCCATACAAAGTCAACTGCGAAATGTTGACGTTAAAACCATCGGCTGTCATCCGTGTTAGATCGTTCTTATTCTCTCACCCAGGTAACATTTGAGCTGACTTGACGTGTTCCTTCTCTCATTAATCTTGGTACTTACCTTACTCACATCGGCGTTGTCCGGAAATGTTCAGCCGTGTTCTTTGCCCCGTCCCCTGTTTTAACATGCGCCCTGCTGTGTTTGAAAACTCGCCAGGGTGACGAATGGCGTGAGTTCCCACTAGCCCAGCCGCGCGTGTATGCATGTGAGAACTGTAATATCATGTTGATGAACTGTAAATAGCCGAGGTATTGGAAGTACTGACCTCACCCTCCACTGCCTCCTAACTAAGGCAGGTAGGTACCTGTTCGTACCTTCCATTTCTTCCATTGGCGGTAACTTGGTGCAAAACCCCAGGTTAAGTACCCTTGTATCCGTACCTCTTTTAAGATATCGACCTCCCTCCTCTCTGCCACGAGAACGCATATCGAACGTCGTCTTGGCCACTGACAAGCTACGATATTGGAACCTCATGATTGTCAATGCCAATACCCACCTAGGTACCTAGTCATTCCTCATGCACTGCCATCGCATATATTGTTCAATAGCAACGGTCCTTAAGATTCAATGTAATTGAGAAGTCGTTCAATTGCTAGCATACAAAGTATCCCTCTACAATTACAGTTGTTAATGTCCAGCTTGGTGGGTGAATAAACAGTCACTATCGCACACATCTTCAAGCTGCTTGTACAGGTGAAACCAACATGGACATAGTCCTTTGTCTCATTTTATCATCTGGCTACTTGTGCTGCGTTGTAGATGGTAAGACAATGGTTGATGGGTGAATGCCTTTGCGTCGCGTCGCTTGATCTTGTCAACTCGACTGCTCGACCCCTTTCCTCACAACCAGACCACACTCTGATTCCTTAGCTGCCCCATTTGTCACTGCTCTTAGCAAATACTGTCAAAGATTTGAAGGCATAAACTATTCAGCAACCACCGGAACACTCTCAATGGTGGCATTGCAGTTAGCTCTGGGTTTTGCTTAAAACCGGATTTGCACCGAGTCATTCCCCTACTAAACGTCCGTTCTCACTTGGGCGATAGAAAACCACCCTTAGGCCTCACCTACCACCGCCCAGGTCGCCTCTCAGGTTTCGAGGGTTGCCAGTCCAGATGTTTGGTGTTGGTGTCCCCGCACCCAAGTTTACTAGGCTACCGGCCCAGCCTGTTCGACTACGCTTCCTCAATGCTTGTCCGCTCGGGGAAGCACTGAGAACAGAGACGGGCACTCCGACGCCCCATTTGTCCACTGTTGCCAAGCTACAACCAAACAGCATTGCCAACCCCATTGCCATCCAATCAACATGATAGCAGATGGACAATATCAATGTCGTTTCATCTCTTCCACAGCTGACACCATCCACCGAGCTGCACCGTCCATTAACCCAATGATGTATTTGCTAGCCCAAATACTTAGGCCATCCGAGGCTTAGGCCCCCTTTCATCTAAGCTTTGTCGTGCGAGGTCGCACGAAATTCCTATATTGAAACTCGTATGCAATGATTCACACACTGTTGTCTTGAAAGAGCTCAGGCTCCGGGATAAGTGCGTTAAGGTCTATCTCGGTGAGGCTGCCGCCCAGAAAGGTCATGCTAAGTGCTGCACTTTATTTTATGTGAGGGCGAAGAGGAAACCCAATGCTGAGTTTCAGATTTTATTTGGCTTCCTCTGAAGCCTCTGAAGGTCGAGGGTGGCTGGCGGCAGGCACCGCGTGATTAGCTTGGGGCGTCTGGTGCGTTCCTTGGCCGCCATATCCCTTGCTATAGTTACTGCCACCTCGGTGCTGCCCGCCATACTGGTGGCCCTGCTGTGGACTCGTGCCAAAGTGTTGAGGCACAGGGCTACTATACCCGCCCCTCACTACACTGGCGTTAGTCGCTTGTTAATTCTCTGCGTGGCGATGGGTGTCAGTATGACTTACTTGGACCGCCTTGCTGGCCTGGGTTAAAAACAGGCTGGTTGTACTGCACGTTGGGGCTCATTCCATACATGGGCTGTCCTTGTTGTGACCCCTGATGCGCCATCATCGGCGCCGCGGGACGACCAGGGCTGGGATAGCCATTAATACCAGGGACTGGCTGAGGTCCAGAAGGGGGCATGAATTGCGGGTGTCCTCCAGGATACATCATCTGCGGGCCAGGAACCATTCCTTGAGGTCCAGGTATAAACTGCTGCGGCATCATCATCGGGCCACCCATCTGACCCTGCTGGGGAGCCATATATTGATGATTATTAGAGAAATTGCGGAATTGATTCATCTGAGGCGTGCCAGGTCCCATGAATACTGCCTGGTTGTATGGTACTTGCGGAGAATTGTAAGCTACAGGCACGTTGCTGAGGCGGGGTGAAGCAAAAGACTGAGCCGAGTTTGAGTGCATCATGCGGTGATCGTCGTTTCCATATGGCGGATGGGGAACATGACCATGCTGAGGTGTGTGCATCTGCATGGGAGGCATATGAGGCGAGCCCCTAGGAGCCATGTTGTGCGCGCCCTGCTGGAGGTGGAATGGTAGTTGATGTTGATGTGGAATCTGAGGAACAACATGTTGAGGGTTTGGGGTAGCCAACGCAGGACCGCCAAATGGCTGGCGTTCGAAGTATTCCTTGTAAGTCAAATGCATCGTTGACTCGGGCTTCTCATTGTCTTGGAGCTGCCGCCAGGTGGGCAGTGTATCGAAGGAAGGGCGCAGGCCGGCGTTTTCGTCCCAGTTTCTCCCTTGAGGGGGTGTCAAGGTCTGGATATGAGAGAGTATATAACATTTCTTGACATCAATGGCCTTTGTCTTACGGCGGATGAGCTGACCATCGGAAACGCCACTGCTTGCTGAGGAATTGACATTGTTAGCAGCAGATCGAGGACTCGAGGCTGCACTGGCGTGGCTATTGGGATTGAAGGCAGCCGCGAACGGGCTGGGCCTGAATTCGTGGCTATTCGGGTTCAGCTTTGCACCCATATGGCTGGGGTTGCCGCTGAGGCGTCGGTTATAGCCAGCTTCGACACCACTAGCTGGCCCTGTTGGAGGAGCACGGGTTTCCTGACTAGGAGTGTGTCCCTGATGGGTTGCAGGAGGTTGAGAGTATTTTTGTTGTTCAACATTGCGTAATCGCTGGGCCAGAGTGCCGGTTTGTTGTTGTGGAGGCACATGGGGACGGTTGTTTCGATACTGCTGTCCATGATAGGGCTGCTGAGCGTACTGCTGGCGAGCACCAGGATGACGAGGTTGTCCCCCGGCTGCAGGCGTAGGCTGAGCACCGGCAGGACCACGGGCTGCTCGGGTATCACTGGGAGGAGCAGATGCACCAGCCGTAGCTGGTGCACCTTGACCAGAGGTTTTAGCCTGGGAGTCTTTTGATGGAGCAACCTTCTCCTTAGTCACGGCAGTAGCCTTGGCCTTGGCCACCTCTTCGGCATTTTTGATAGCCTTGGCCTGGATTTCTTGTTGCTTGAGGGGATCCTTGGCTATGATGGAGACTAAATCTGTAGGGACTGGAGTTGAGAGTTTGAAAGAGTTGGCAAACTTCTTTAACTCTGTCAACTTGACCTCTTTGTCCTGCTTGGCTTTGTTGCTTCTAGCCTTCTCGGCGTTCTGTCGTTGCTGGCTAGCAAATGTCTTGAATTCTTTTAACACATCGTGTTCGACTGTGGAAGTAGCACTGGGAGCAGGAGCAGCCTGACTTCCAGGAGCTGGGGCAACTTTGGCGGTATCGCTTGACTTGGTCTCGGCCGCTTTGCCATTAGCAGGCTTTGAGTCATTGATCGAGGGCTCTGTGACCTTGACCTCTGCCGGAGCTTTCTGCGCATCAGTTTTCGGCATTGATCCGTTCTTGATAGCGTCGGAGGACTGAGCTTTGGACTCTTCAGGGGCTGGCGGAGCCTGCTTCTTGGGTGGTGCTTTGATCTGGGAAGAAATGATTGCAGGGTCAATAGGGGCACCTTTGACACTAGATTGAGCCGCGGGTGCCCGCTTGGCTGGCGGAGTGTACTTGTTCTCACGCCCAGCGGACAGAGGCGGGAAGTCTTGGCGCCGAACACCGCTGTATCTGTAGGAGAACTATGGTTAGCCATACGAAGAAATGGTTGGGAAAGGGATAGTTACTTGTCCTCTTCATCACCCCCATCATCTCCGCCGACGTAGTCCATGATACGTTCCTCAGCCACGTGAGCAGTAGTGGGCGCACTGCGTTCAATTTCGCGCGCCTTCCTGTCTGCTGCAGCTATCCTCTCTCTGTATTCTGGGTGGTTCTTATCAATAGCGGTAGTGTAGAAGTTCTCATCGTAATTGGTTTTCAATCCAAAGAGCCTCTCATTCTCGGCGAACTGATCCCAATTACCGCTACCACTAGACTTCTCAAGGCCGCCATTGAAGGTATCGTTCGAATCGGGGACCCAAGGTTGAAGAACCCGCTCGTTACCGAATCGATTTTTGGAGATGGCAGTATCGGTTCGGAATGCAGCCCGGCCTCCTATAGCACCCAGGATTAGATAGTTCTTGCTCGAAAAGACTGCACAACAAACCATTTTGTTTGCCCCCAGACCCCCCACCAGCTATTCCATCCTTCTTCGGAACGGGCATATTCAAAAATGCTCCAGTCGTTATGTAAATTCTTAAAAGAGAGTCAAGTTTTACGAAGCTCGGCCACCATTCAGGTAACCAGAAAGAAGCTCAAGTGACGATGTGGGATGATTGTGGGTGTTTCGTTTGGGATCGCAGAAGGACGGGAAGCGACTTCGTGATTCTAAATAGACGCAGATGTTAGCCTTCCAAGGGCTATGAAGTCTCTCTGCTCAGACGTAAATGGCAGGGAGAAAAGAGCTCAGCAGTGTATCATTAGAGGCCACGTCCTGATACTATGACGTGACGACAGTGGATTACACGACAATCGTGGGGTTTGGGGATGCTCGATAAGGGGAAATACCAAATCGACTTGGTAGAGGGGGAGAGATGGGTATAATGCAACGACTTACTTTGCGATAACGCTTGAGGAGATCAATACAATAGTCGGGCGATACGGTGACTACCTTATGGAGCTGGGCTGAGTCTGCTGGGCCAAGGCCAAAGCTATAGTAAACTTGCCAAACGCTCACTTCTGACTCAATGCTGAGAAGGTTAGTAACTGTATGCATACATTCATATGTAGAGCCGTTTCTGATCCACTAGATAGAATTCCGGTGAGCGTTGTGTGCTTGGGAGTTAAAAAATAAAAAAATAAAAAAAGAGAGAGCGAAATAGTAGGGAGGCCAAGCCGAGCAGTTGTGTGAGGAGAAGCGAAAAGGCGGCTCCAACGAAAACGCTGTCAGGAAAACGGGCGAAGAAAGTTAAAGACGAGGGGCTTCGAGTGGCTTTACCTCGCGAGGTCTCTAGAGACAGAAAAAAAAAACCCAGATACAATGATCTAGAGCGTCGTCCAGCTCGCGTGCCGTTAAAATTGCCTTGCAATGGGCAATAAGAGCATGGAGCGAATGCGGAAAAGGAGGGTTTGAGTCGTGGTTGGAAGGGAGAGTCGAGACGATGAGCGACGAGGATTTGGTGGTAGTCGAATTGGTGGTTGAGGCTTGGGGACTGAACCTTCACTCCGCGAGGTACCTACCTAAGGGGATGGCACAGTACAGGACAGAACAACACAGTAAGTGGAGGTCAGGTCACAGTGGCAGTACCTTAATGGAGGGTCAAAGGGTAGTACTTACTTAAGGTATACAGGTAAGCCGCCTCCTCTGTTGCTGTTCTGCTGGACCAGAACCCTCTCTTTTAGTTTGCTCAGGGACAGACAGCCGCGGAAAGGCTGTTTCCTCCCGGTAATGGGTCCCCTGCTTAATCTTTTACTGTCGTGAGTGTCATGTTTGGCCAGTGTCGTGTGTCTGAATGCCTGTAGGTACAGTTGACAATTCTGTGGGTCGCTCTCGAAAGCTGTGCCTTGTGAGTGGTTTCCCTAACCTAAGCTTTGACATCCATCCTACTAACAATAACTTAGGTTATTCGTTATCCATGGGTGTTTTAGTAGTACGATCCATCATGTCTTATAGGACTCATCGACTTCAACAATTGGTAACAAATCACAATATGCACAACCGCCCTCAGTTGCAATGAAATAGTGAGGCAGTCTAGACCGTACCCCAGCTCCATTTTCTTCTTTCTACCTAGCAGGTATCCAGTTGTGAATGTGCTTCTACTACGGAGTACGTATGAAAGCTTACACGCTTGTTGCTATAAAAGTGGGCGTTGCTGGGGATGCAGTGGAGATATGGTACAGTGCGCATAACCCGCATGGGTATTGAATCTTCAGCGCTTGCAGTGACATTCAGCTTCTATTGAGGTATCATTAGAAAACATGCAAAGGCCCAATGCATGTCCAAACACGAGAGGAGAGGGGCTATACTGGTGTAGACGCAGTGTTGGTGGTACAACTTGTGTACCCACGAATACGATGCTGACTGCAAGTTTGGGGCAGCGACTGGTTTTCAAACGTATGAGTGGCTGTAGTAACCTGACCGGTTCTGGATTCGCCGAGTTGCATACGAATGTTTTCAACTCTAGGATGTCTGGCGAGAATCCAGAGTTAAGTCTGGTGCGAAAAGAGGCTCAAGTTGCCTTCAACATTGCGGCCCTTACGGGTTGACTGGTAAGGCCATCTTTGAGCCCTCACAACTCTTTACCAAAGCGTACGTCGGCAAAAGAAACCCTGTAAGGTGCTGCCTCTGAATGCAATACAACAGATCAAACTCGATCTGTCTTCGCGAGAGATAAGCGTCACAAAGCTCATGTAACGTAAAATTGATGATGGAGAACAAAGGGGCCTAAAATGGATCAAAGGATTTCTACTACAAATATTCACAAAGAGGTCAGCCTCTCCCACATGACTTCTAAACTGTTGGTACAAGTTGTTTTCTCTCTTGGACCTCCATTTATACTCGCAGACCAATATCCTCAGCGTAGGGCAGCACGAACAGATCACCGACAGTTGAAACGGTGGCCTTACCCTCAAGGAGAGTCTTGGCAGCCTGTAAAGGGAATGATTAGTCTTATATAAACATTTGACAAGAGTCAGGGTAAGTTCTTACAGTTTTAATGGTTTCAGCGGAGACACCATCGATAGCCTTGGCAATGGCAGCAGAGTCGTAAGGCTTGCCGCTATTGACGATACCAGAGCCAGCGAGGGCGATACTGGGTTGTCGGAGCTGGTTCTGGTTCAGAAGGTTGAACTTAGCGTTGGCAACGGCCTTCTTGACATCCTCCTGGCTCGCTTGGCCATCTGCTATGCTCTTGAGCACCTTGACAGTCTCCTCAGCACCCTTGCGGACAGAGGCAGCGGGACCACTGAGCTGAACAGCAAGGAGACCAGCATCGGAGTAGGTTAGGTTGGAGGTGTTGACAGTAAGACCGGAGGTGCCAGCAGTGGCCTTGGCCAGCAGGCTAAAGCCAGGAGCCCACTTGATGGTGGACTGACCACCGAGGAGAGCAGCCAGCACAGCGTGCTCAGGCTTGGTAGAGTCGTAACCGGAGCCGGGGAAAGCAATGACAATAGAGTTGCCAGCACTGGAGCTTGTTCGCTGCTCACCACCAAAGTACTTGGTGGCGTCCGTCTTGAGAGTTTGGCCACTTCGAGGGGTAGAAGGCACGTCCTTGAAGAACTGGCCAACCCACTTGGAGAGAGAATCGGGAGAGGCACCGTCGGCAATGAGAGCAATGTTGGGCTTAGCGTAAGCAACGTCGGCGTAGCTGGCAATGTACTCCTCGTTCAAGTACTTCTGGTAAGGAGTTGAGGAGCTGGGGAGGAGGGAGGAGCCGAGACCAGTGTGGAAAGCGATAGCGTGGGCGTTGTCGAGAGCAGTGGCGGCGACGTCGGCGTTGAGGGCAGCCTGCTTGGCGTGGAGAACACGCTCAACATCCTCGTGGAACTCGTGAGCTAGCAATCCTCATTAATATGGCTCAAATGTATATGTAGTGTACGGTTGAATGTTTACTCACTGGTATACTTGGTCAGGGAGATGACCTCAGCGAGGAGCTCGGTGAAGTAAGGCAGATCCTCGCGGAGAAAGCTAGCTTCGACAACAACAGCCTCCCTGGAGTGAGAGGAAGCCAATTGGCCACCAAGAAGCTCAGACTCGCGAGTAATGCGAAGACCAGATCGTCGCTGGGTGTTCTACATAGAGCCAGCAAATTAGCTCAAGTCGTTTATTTCCACTCGATGCTCTCGTCTCTCACCTTGAACGCAAATTCGGCAAGGCCAACAGAAAGGCCAGGAAGAGGCTGGTAGCGAGTACCAGCCTTGGCCACAACAGCGAGCTTAGTAGTAGGACCGTGAGCATCCCGCGAGGCAACCTTGAGGCCAGTCACATCCGAGGTCTCGTATGATCCGGTCGAAGCAGCGGCGGCGTAGGTTCTTCGCTGGACGCGGCAGGCCTGGCGGGCAGCCTGCTGCGCAGTTCGCGCAAGGGACGATCTCGAGATCATATTCGCGGGTGATGGCGTAGGCAATTGGCGATCCTTCGGCCGTCTAGGTGAAGCAATTGATCTCCAAGAGAAGTGCCTCGTCGAAAAGGTCCCGTCTAATTTTCGGGTCTACGGGGACGAGAGAAAATGTCACGTGATTGGCTCCGGTCAGCCAGATTTCCATCCGCGGCATTGGCTCATCAGTGTGACTTCAGCGACATTTGAACTGGCTTTGGCGCTAGGGAAAGAATGAATAGCATTGAAGTTTTGAACCCCACCTATTGTGAGGACAGGCCTACCAGCTGCTGACTTACATCAGAGTTGCAGGCAAAAATTAACTTAACGATCCATTAGCATTTGCGCTGGAAAAAAAAAAAGCATCCCAGCCTTCTTGCTCTCTTGTTTTCTTTTCCACCCTTTAACCTTACAGCTAGCATTACTGATAACGAGACTCTCGATCTATTCTTTTCCAGGCCCTCAGTTCTTCTTTTATGGTTTTTGTCAATCAATGACGTTCCGGTAGCAAGTGTGGAAGCTCTAGAGATAGTGAGAGGATCTCTAGGAGCAAGCAATGCTCGTTGTGAGTCGAAGCAGCTCGACAACCATTTATGACATACCAGCTGACAGCCCTTTCACGGCAGACAAAACACGCCGCTGAGCTTTGTGCTCTCCTAGTTAATGATCTCCATGGCGAACTTCCTTCGGTACGTAATGTTTTATGTTATGGTTGTTTGGATACAAGCGAGGTTGTGGGGCTGACTTGCTCGTCGCAAACAGCGAATCTTGAATGCACTACTCACAAAAGGCCGGTCGACCATTGCGCAACTGGCCCAACACACGTCTCTCACGCCGCGATACTTACGAAATGGCATCGCTGTTCTGATACAGCAAAACCTTCTTTACCACCACACCGACGCTAATACCGACATCACGTACTACCAAGCCGATGCTGATGCCTGTTATAACCTTGTACGATCAGGGAAGATTCTAAATGTGATTGAGAATCAATATGGCATCGCGGAGCGGGAACTCGCCCAGACTCTGATGCAACTGGGCCATGCCCGAATCGCGGATCTTTCTCAGGCTTTCGGGTCGAGGGCGCCCAAGCTCAATGGACATACCAACGGTGAACATAAAACCCACGATGGCCTCATCGAATCAGAAAGTCACCTGAACTCTGTCCTTGTTCGCCTGATTCGAGCAGAAATCGTCGAGACTGTTCGGCCCGAAAGCTTCCGGAACCCTAGGGATGTCTATCGTGAGATCGAAGACGAAGTCACCAAACCTCGACCAGGCGAAAAGGTCACCAAAGGAAAGATCGAGGCTCAACGCGAGGTCATCGAACGCTCTAGAACATATAGAGACCAGTCCAAGACTTTGAAGCGTCAGCTTGACATGAGCGGAGGTCCCAAGCCAAAGAGACGGAAACTTGTTAATGGAGCAACGCAAAATGGTCATGGATACGATGCTCCAAAACTGAACGTAAGAACGTCCAATGATTTACGAATTGATTTCACGACTGACATTCAACAGCCCAATGTGGTGATCAAGATAAACTACGAAAGATGCTTGGTTGAGCTGCGGAACCAGAGACTTGCAGAACTCGCAACAGAAATGCTTGGGGAAGTCACTGGTGAAGTTTACCGCACAGTGCTCGATCTTTTAACTTCAGATTCTCCAAGGTGCCAGTCTGACCCTCTACTCGATGAAGTGACTCCTGGACAACAACCAACTGTGACAACTATCGACATATTCGAGCACCTGGACGAAAATATCAACGTACAAAATGGGATCGGCAAAACTCCAAGAGATAAAATTGACTCACAGAGTGCTGAAAGGATCAGGGAGACAGCGCCGGAGTCAGATGACGATTCTGACGATTCAGATGCCGGTCCTCCGGGTCGAAGAAAGACGTTTGACGTTGACGATGAAGATGATGGATGGGCTGACGACAACCATGATGGTACAGCTAATGGGGAACAAGAAAACAGAGTAAGATTTGAAGATGCTACGAATGGAAACGATACTCGAATCTCCCAGATGCGCCGTCATCTTCTTCTCCTCGCAGAAAGCAAGTATCCGTTCATCCGTCACTGTGGGATGTACGGCCGCGGGCAATGGACAGTGGATTTTAGTCGCCTTGTAGGCAAGCTGCGGGAAATCGAACTGGACGCTATTATTGAACAATCCCACGGCCGCCATGGTCTACGCTTGACCCGCATTCTCCGAGAAAAGGGCAAGCTTGACGAGAAGATGCTTCCAGCCGCCGCACTCATGAAGAAGGGTGACGTACAAGGCAAAATGCTTGCGATGCAGATGGCAGGTATAGTGGATGTTCAAGAAGTGCCTAAGGATAGCAGTCGACTTGCCAATCGAACGCTCTTCTTCTGGTACTTTGACAAAGAGCGAACCCAAACGCAGGCACTGGATGACATTTACAAGGCTATGCTCCGGTGCCTTCAAACCTTAGAGGTGGAGCGCCACAAGGAACGAAATATTCTTTCTTTTGTTGAGAGGAAGGACGTGCAAGGCAAAGAAGAGGAGGTCATGACCGCAGAGCATTACAACAAGTACAACAGGCATCTGGGAGTGCAGGACAAGCTTCTCGGTCAAGTCATGAGGTTAGATGAGTTGGTATCTGTGCTTCGTGATTATTGAGGAGTAGAAAGGAGACGCCAAAGCATATATGTATTCCTCCCAGCTCAAACCTCGCTTGGAATTGGCGGTTGGCGTGGGTACTGGGTACTAGCGTTGGGTAGGAGCTTGGCCTTGCATCATCTCTGCATCCATATTTTAAACAACAATCCGCGAAAAGAACACATTAAATTGCCTTTTTTTTTTTTTTTACATGCTCCTCGCCTTTGCTTCGTGGCTTCTTGATCTTTTGATTTGTTGTTGGTGAAGGTAGGACTTGGTGTTGTAGGTGCGATGGCCATCAGCAAGCATGCGTGTCCATATGACCAGACAGACATCGTTTACCTGCAAACACTGGCCTATCTACCTAGTACTGTGTATTTTACTCACAGGGAAACTTCATTTTAGTTCTTGAACTCTAAGAAGCCCCGTACTTCAAGTCCTAAATCACTTTGCCTTGGTAGCTTCTTTCGTTATTTCGAGACTGTGACTTTGAGGCTCGAATATTGAGCTCTCGGCCCCCGGGAACAATAGTATCCGGCTATCATGGCGTTGCTTCCGCGATGAGTTTGAACCTCGTCAAGTGTTCCTGGTTCATCATTTCAAGACGGTTATAGAGGGAATTATCGCGGCTATAGGGTACCGTGATTACTTGTTAGTGGCTTGTATAAACTGTGGCTCGTGCTTGGCCAGGGGTTGTTGAGGGTCGAGATTCAAGAGTGGAGCCTCTCTCAACACACCAGAGAAAAAAAATCCTATGGAATCCGTAGACGGATAGCTAAAAGCTCCACGATTCTCCGACGTCGGTACATACAAGCGCAAATACGCCAGGGTGATTTAGCAGGGGTTAAGAACAAGGCCAGGGGATTCCTAGGAACTGAAAAGAGATAAGTGCATTGGGCGACAGGAAAAATTTCCCAAGCAGCCAGCTCTTGAGTCTTATACCCGAACTCTTGCTCTCGCGACAAGCTCACGATTCTGTTTTTTTAAACTTCGTGAAACTCCTGGGAACTACTGTCAAAGCAGTATCTTGATCTGATTTGTATTACTCTATCTCATCAAGATGTCTCCTCCCGTCGCTGCTGGTCGCGAGAAGGAGTCCGGCCTGGCTCGTGTCCTCGGCTCTGGTACGTTTCACTCCAATTGAGAAGGCGACTATGCTATTGCTTTACGATTTCCTGCAATCGATATCTCTAGTTCGAGCTGACAACATCTTGACAGGTTCCGCTGGTATTGCTGAGCTGGCCGTCTTCCATCCTGTACGGAACCCCACCTCTTTTGAGCACAACCAGTTGCGACAAATCTTGGAGTTGTTCACTAACCCCTCCACAAGGTCGACACCATTGCGAAGCGGTTGATGAGCAACCAGACTCGTGTAAGCAACCTACCTCTCTTGATGCATGCCATTGGACAAGATATTGACAGTTTGTGCTTGTAGATATCCAGCGCCAGCGAATTGAACAAGGTTATCTTCAAGGACAAGGCCACCGCTCCCCTCGGACGAAAATTCGTTTCTCTCTTCCCTGGGCTGGGATACGCCGCCGGTTACAAGGTCCTCCAGCGTGTGTACAAGTATGGTGGCCAGCCTGTTGCCCGTGATTACCTCTCCAAGCACTATGGAGCAGACTTTGAGAACGCCTTCGGCAAGAAGACTGGAAAAGCCATCATGCACTCTACTGCTGGAAGGTAGGATATGAAGACCTTTGTTTCTCGAGAAGCTTGAACTAATGCGCCCCACAGTCTGATCGGTATTGGTGAGATTGTTCTCCTACCTCTTGACGTCCTCAAGATCAAGCGTCAGACAAACCCCGAGGCTTTCCGTGGCCGTGGCGTCCTCAAGATCGTTGCCGATGAGGGTTTCGGCCTGTACCGTGGTTGGGGCTGGACTGCTGCTCGTAACGCCCCTGGATCTTTCGCTGTATGTGTGACATTCTGCTCCTTGAGTTGCTTTGGAAGACTAACTTGGCGTAGCTGTTCGGTGGATCTGCTTTTGCCAAGGAGTACATTTTCCATCTTGAGGATTACAACAAGGCCAGCTGGTTCCAGAACTTTATTGCTTCTATTGCTGGCGCTTCCGCTTCTCTCGTTGTCTCTGCTCCCCTTGACGTTATCAAGACCCGTATCCAGAACCGAAACTTCGACAACCCTGAGAGTGGCTTCCGAATTCTCTCCAACATGGCCAAGAACGAGGGTCCTGGAGCTTTCTTCAAGGGACTTGTCCCTAAGGTACGTTCACCAGCATAGAAAGTGGTGGCCGTCTTTCTGCGGCCCGCCATCTCCCGATCAACTCCCGTCCCCACTCTAGAACTTCTAGACGCTAACTTATCCCGCCCTGCAGCTGCTCATGACTGGTCCCAAGTTGGTCTTCTCTTTCTGGCTTGCCCAGACTTTGATTCCTGCCTTCGACACTGCTTTCAAGAAGTAGAGATGAGATTATGGAATATTTGAATTCATGTTAAAGATAAATATACGAATCTAGATAGGTACCATCTGGACGGTGATGACGAAGAAGGCTTAAATGGGAGTTTAGACGGATTAGGTTATTTTGGGTTTGCTACGATAGACACGCCGCTGCACCGATATGAGAGGATCGGCTTCGCTTGGAAGCCAGGTAATCTGTTAGTGAAGCAGTGGAGAGGCACTCAACTCTGTATAAATAAAGCGATTTGATTTGATACATGTCATCTGTTCTAATGAGGTACCTATGTGAGACAAGAAAATTCAAGGCCAAGCTTGATCCTAGGCGACAAAAATATCTAGGTAAGCCAGCCTGAGCTTGAGGTATTCTTGAATGATTTCGTCTGGGCACCCTCTTGTAAAGTCTGAAGTTTTCTTTGAGACTTGGAGGATACCTTATTGAAAGGCGTGATGTGATGGTGCTGGAATTGCTCACCCTCACCGTCACCTACCAGGGCATTAGAGCGGTAGGCACAGTTGCATTGTTTAGATTTGCTCGATACAGCCGCGAGCAAGGTCATGATCCCTGTTGAATTCCACAATGATGTATTTCATAGGCCCCTCTTCACAAGGCGGTCCAAAGGCCCTCAATTCGTGGTGTGATCTGCTCTGTTGTGAGCTCGTGATTTGCCAATGTCAACCGGGGGTGCGGTACAACGACAGCCTAACGTCGAGTTAATTGTCAGTGCAGGAGGTTGCTCGGCAACCAACCGGGCCCGAAACAAAAAATAAACCAGGTTGCGGTTACCGCAACGGACAGCCAAAGATTGAGTTATAGCTTCTCCCAACGCCATCTGAATTAAACAATGCAACCAACTTTGATGCTCTAACTTCATTTCCTCCGATTCCACCACCCTCTTGTATCTGATACCGTCTTGGATTGTTTGTTATACTACCTGCTTTCCTGCTTGTTAGTTGCAACGAATATATTCAGAACTTACACCGCATTCCTCAATCCCCACCGACTTTGTTTGCGCTCTTGTAAATAGCGTGGCTGCGGCGCCGTCCGCATTCTTGCCATCGAGACGAATACACTTCTCACATACCATTACTTGTTTCCAAGGAACCAGGCCAGACATGTCTTCTTCGGAGCGAGACAGTTCTTACGACGGGGACTTTCAGCTGAGACATCAACAGTCGGCTTCTTCAGATCCCAATTTTCGAGCACTTGTTCCAATGTAAGTTTTCTTGTATATGCCCTCATGCATCTCTTGCGCCGACTAACAGGGAACAGGTGGGACAGCTCTGACCCCGAACGCTGCCCCCCTCCACTGCCTCTGAATCCGGGGTCGCCATTAACTTCACGGGTGGGAACTTCGAGCGCTATCGCATCTGCTCACGCTGCACTTAACGAGCGAGCGAGAGAAAGCACCATGGTTCCTACCAAGAGAATAGAGTCCCCGACAAAGGGACATCGCCGACTGCAGTCTTCAGTCCGTGATATCAGCATGATGATCGAGGGTGCTAGCGGCCACAGCTCGCCATCGCGATCACCAGAGCGTCAACAACGTCCAGAGACGCCCTCTCGGCCGCGGGATGCTGATAATCGGCCAAACGAAAAGGACTCTGTAGTGTCGAGCACGACACCAGTACCTGGACCTAGCTTGACGCCGATTCTGCGTCCTGCAGTTCGACGGCCTCCTCCTCAAAGCATCCTCGGCGAAAACACACCTCCGCAATCGTCCACCATGCTTGCTCTTCAACACATGACCTCATCCACACCTGTCAAAGAACCGGAGAACCCTCTTACGGATATCACAAATGGCTCATTAACCTTGCCAAAAGGTCCCCAGAATCTAGAAGCGTTGTCGGATCAAATTCTCAGCCTGACTAGCATTGCGACAGGACTTCAGAAGGAGATGTCTCAGTTGAGCCGTCGAAGCAGGGACAATGCTACGGATCTCCTTAGCCTCAAGGAGGCTACAAATTCGAGAGATGAAGATATCCGCAGAAGCCTCAGAGAGCTTTTGGGGAGCCATGGCAATGGCAACGATGGCCATAATAGGCTCCCTCCAGCTCGGGACCCCTTTGGAGGATATTACCTGGACAACAAGCCACACAATCTCTCTCCACCAAGCACCAGGGGTTTTCATCTCCCTAGAATTCCCTCTCCCAAGAGCTTTGGCGACTCAATTGAGCGAGGGTCCATCAGCACACCCTCTCTTGCTGGCTCTGAGGCGCCACCCTCCGTCGTTCTTCTGGAGCGAATCATTCGGGAGATGGGCACCAAGGAAGGGCAGGAGTCTCTGCTCGGCCGGTTACAGGAAGTTTCCAACAAACTGTCTGGCATGGCCACATCCCAGAAGTTGGACGAAGTCATTGAACAGGTGAAGGCGCAGTCCGAGCAGGCTATTATCCTCGGAAACTCTCTCGGCAGTCCTCATGCGAGCCGGTCTCGTAACCTCAGTTTTGAGTCAGAAAACAGCCGAAGCGATATCATGCCGGGCCAAGCAAGGAGCGCCGTTTCCCAGCGCGTTGAGCACATTATGAAGAATGAAGCTCGTCGAAATTCGGAGCCATCAGCCCGTGGTGCTGAAATTTTGAATGACGACCTCATAAGCATCATTCGCTCTGTCAAAGACAGCGTCTCTCAAGGCGGAGGTCTTACTGCCGAAGTCAAGGCTCTTGTCCGCGAACTGCGAGGCGAGGTCCTGGGCATGGGTCGTGAGATTGGCCGACGCCTCGAGCAGCAAGCATCTCGAAGAGGTGTTGAAGATCATGATACCCCGAGCAAAGATGAAGTCGCTCGCGTTATCGACGAGGGGCTTGAGCAAATGAAGGATCAGCTGAATCATGTTCTTCGCGAGCATAGACGCCAGTCAGCTGCTTCGGTCAACACTCAGAAAAGCGCTGTCGACTACCAAGAGATATACAATGCCATGAGAGCGGCCATCCAAGACAACGAGGCAACCAAAAGTAATTTGCCCGACTTGAGCCGAGAAGATGTAATCGAAGCTGTCAGAGACGCCTGGGAGAACTACAAGCCTGAGATCGAAGTGCAGCAGCTCGGACTTGAGAGGGACGAAGTCTTGGCTTGCCTGAAGCAAGGCCTTCAGGAATATGCGCCCCGCGATGACCATCCTCCCGCTGTGACTCGGGACGAGGTTTTCACTGCCGTTGTAGATGGTCTGAAGCACTTTGTTCCTCCTCAGGTTGATCAGCCCGCCACTCTTTCGAGGGAGGAAATCATTGACGCAGTTCGTGATTGTCTTGAAGAGTTTGAATTCCCTGTGGCCCCAGGTACTGGAAACGACATCACTCATGAGGACGTTGTGCACGCCGTTAGGGAAGGCCTCCAGGACCTCGATGTCCACTCTAGCCGGGCTCTGGTGCCCGCTTCAGCCAGCAATGATGACGTTGCTGATCGTCTCCGGGAGATCATGGAATTTCTGCGACATGAGTTCAAGACGTTGTCTGAAGAGACTAAGGAGACTGTCGCGGCCAATGGACGTGAGACTGAGCAGGTACGGGATGTGACCAAGGATGGTTTTGAGAACCTTCGACAAGCTATGGAGAGTTATGTTGATCGTGCCACTGGCGCTGCTGGCCAGGAAGAGTTTATGGATGACCTTTTGAAGTCTCTGGAAGATTTCAAGGATGAGATGGCAGGTATTGTCTCAACCACCAACCAAGAATCTCGTGAGCAGCTTCAGACTGAGCTCGAGGGTCTCCGCGAAATCGTCAACTCATCTATGGTGCCTGCGTTGCCACCTCAGACCAACAACACAGAGATTCTGGAAGCCTTGAACACCGGCTTCAACAATTTGCGGCAAGAGGTTTTGCGACCACGCGCCGAGACAAGTGAAATCCTCGACGCACTCAATGACGGCCTCAACGACCTCCGGGCAGGTATGGACCGTGTCACGAACAAGCCTACCGACTTAACCGCCAATGACGAAATTCTTGAAGCACTCAAGACTGGACTCCACTCCGTCCGAGCTGATATTGAATCCATTCGCGACAGCAGTAATGACCGCGCCGTTGCCACGCTGGAATCTACACCTCCTGCCAACGACGAAGTCCTAGAAGCACTGAAATCAGGACTCAGTGGCGTACGAGCTGATATCGAAGCACTTCGAGATAGTCAGATAGAGAAAGCGGTCGCTGTGGTTGAGCCAAAGGAGAACGATGAGGTTCTCGAGGCCTTGAAGAATGGCCTCGATGCTCTCCGTGTTGACATCGAAGCTATCCGTCAAAGCACCTCCGAAAAACCCGCGGCACCTGTCGACAACACCACCAACGATGAGGTGATTGAGGCTCTCAAGAACGGGCTTGACTCTCTCCGGGTTGATATTGAAGCCGTTCGTGACAGCAGCGAAAAGGCTATCGCACCGGTCGACAACTCATCCAGCACAGAGTTCATCGAAGCTTTGAAGAACGGACTTGAGTCACTGAAAGCCGATATTGAATTGTCTCGCGACAACAGCGATCGTGCTGCACTCGGAGAGGACACCTCAAACGATGAGGTCATAGTTACTCTGAAGAATGGTCTTGATTCCCTCCATGCCGAGATCGCAGCTCTTGCAGCCCAGGAGAAGCCTGATACTCCCATAGAGAACACTTCAAACGATGAAGTTATCGTCACCTTGAAAAATGGTCTTGACTCTCTTCATGCCGAAATAGTAGCAATCGCTACTGCCCAAAAGGCAGCAGCCGCTCCAGTCGACAACACCACCAATGATGAAGTCATCGAGGCTCTTAAGAATGGCCTTGATTCTCTGCGTACCGACATCGAAGGACTCCAAGAAAGCAACCAGAAAGCTTTAGCCCCAGTTCCAGATACCAAGCCAAACGATGAGGTTCTGGATGCTCTCAGGACAGGATTAGAGTCTCTCCGTTCGGATATCGAAACTCTTCGAGAAAGCAACAATGAACGAGCCATTGCACCTGCAGAATCATCCACCGACGAGAAGATCCTTGATGCTCTCAAAACCGGCCTTGAATCTGTTCGTTCCGACATTGAGGCCTTGCGGGATAGCAACGGCGAGCGGGCCCTTGCCGCAGTGTCAACTGACAACACAAAGGATGACGGACCTTCCGAAAAGATCAAATCGGATGACATCAAGAACCTCGAGGTGCTGATTGCAGGACTTGCCATCAAGATCGACTCTGTCAAGTCTGAGAACCAGGGTGTTCAAAAAGATGATTTGTCTCGTATGGAGGATTTGCTTCGCACAGTTCAGGACAGCGTTGACGAGATCGCCTCTCGGGAGACACTCACA